TTGATGTGTTAGTATACATCTGTAGTATTTGCACAAGCTGGTATCTAACACATTTGCCACTGGTATGAACAACACTAAGCATTTACTGCACTTAAAAAATGCTAAACAACCACTAGTATGCAATTTGCAGCCATCAAAAATAGTTACAATAATTGGTCACCATAATAGTTGTACACAACCACCTATTGGTGGTTGTTGTGTTTTGTCGAAACTACTGTCCATAGTGTTTTATCTCAATGTTCTATGTTGAATTGGATATCATTGATTTATTTTAAATAACTCCAAGATGCATTTAGTTACCCCAGTTAGGAATTTTCTTTTTAGTTATGGAAGATTTTAAATTTAGGTTGATGAAGATGACATTTATTGGAGACCAACAAAAAGGGAGAGAAAGAGTCGACACTGTCTCATAGCTCTACTCATGTAAAATCACAGTTATCTCTTTGTTTTAGTGAGAGTGAGTGGAAATTATTGACATTCCATTACTCTCTCTCTCTCTCTGTATATGTATATGTATTGGTAACTTCTTATAGTGAGTTTCCTAAATTTATATTCATTTTTGCAATCTTTTATCCCCTTTCTTATGTAAGGCAATTTATTTTTCTTTCACCATAATTACTAACTCCCCCTCTCTCTCACTGGAGAAGTGCTTGCTTTCTTCATTGATTGTTTTTATTTGATTTTGGTATCAACTAATTGGTTTTAGCGGGCAGTGTGAGTTTGCTTGGATTTGTTGAAGTGATTCAAACATATTTCATGTAATCCTTGGAGGGATGTGAGTTTGTTTGGTTTGGTTGAAGTGATTCTAGTATAATTGTTTTTCTATTCTATTGTCGAATTGTATTGCCTAGCTGAAATATTGCAAAAGTAAGAAAGCAATACATGGGTTCATAATTCTTAAATTAGGGGTTTTTTTTTTTTTTTGGTTACACAACGCCTTTAGGTACAGGTTATTGTTAGTATTTTATATATGGTAATAAAAATAGTATAGATTACAAATTTAAACTCTATTAAAATTTATGCCGCCCACAAAAAAATCTTATAAAACCCTAGTATCCAAAAAAATAATAATAATAATGCAAAGGAAAAATATCATTACCAAATAATACTACTATTTGCAAATTGTTATATTGAAGTTAACAACTAATTACATTTGATTCACACATATATAGAGATATATAAAATAAAGCGATACATTATATCTCATAAATAAAAGCTTGCTAAGATGAAATGGTTCAAAAATTGATACATATGCGTGCGCGGTGTTTTTTGCGCAATATATGAAAAGACAGATCTCTCCCTTGGTGAACTCACATTTGCCCTGAAAGTCGACGATCCCGAGACAAAAAGGAAATCCAAAATGGCCAAAGGGGGCCTAAGGAGTGGTGATGAATTGCTCCAAGGGCTATTCTATCGATTTCGGCGAGTTGTAAGTTGTTCCTGACACACAAAAAACAGGTTAGATGGGTGTCGGGGTGTTTTCTGGCGTATCTCCTGCGACGATCAAATCAGTTCTTTGAGAAAGGGGAAGAAGAAAGCACTGTATTGTTCTTGGGGAGTGATTTTGTGTACCTTTGCTTTACATTTTTGGGAGCTATTTATACCCCCAAAGACTCTTCATTACTGATGATCTAGGTAGTAGGTAATGCCCAGACATGGGATAGTGCACCTCTTATTTTGCATGGGGGAGGCCCCGTTATTAATTGCCCAAACTCCCAAGCAATTAATAACCTTTCTTCAATGTGGAGGCTTTAAATGCTCAATCCCCAAAGCACTAAATGCTCCATATCTTCGGCTTCCCGAGCTATTATGGATGCCCCATCAGTTGAGGATTCATTAAATGCTTACCTGAGATAGCCGCATGTCAATAGGGACATTTTTGTCCATTCACCCCTCAACCTATACTCCATGCCACGTGTCTAACTCCCCTAGGTGGAGGGTACTATTCATCCTGCCATTCTAACTTCGTTGCGGAGAGCACCCTCATAATCCCTAGTCCAGTTCTAAGACTTTATTAGTTGTCAATCAGCAGCCCTACACAAGCCAAAGATACATGGCAAGACCCGAGTGCAATAAGTGCCTTCGGCGCTGAGGACACGTGGCTACCACATAATGGAGGTACACCTGGAGCCGAGGACAAGTGTCCGAGAGTACATCGACGCCAAGCACATGGCAGCGCACGGGGTTCCTTTAGAGTTGTGCCTTCGTCAGAGCAAAAGATGTACCCTCGGTGCCGAGGACACGTGTCTTCGTCAGAATACGAGGTGTTCCCTCGGTGCCGAGGACACGTGTCGACAATCTACTCCCTTCTCAGAAATGTCTCATCAACTACCCCTAGCCCTTTGATCTTCGTATGAAATGAAAACGTGTCATTGGGAGATGGAAGGGCTCACCTACCTCATCATTGCTTCATCCGTTTTCCCATCCTTTGGAGATCAGGCACATTGAATGTGCCAGTCTTTGTGTCTCGTGCACAAGGCCCTATATAAACAAAAGGCCTATCCCCTTTCATCATTTTCACGACTTTTGGCCACCTTAGAGACCCTTGCCGAAGAAATCATTGGAATCCCTTGCTTTCTTACTCGCAGAACCCTTTCACTGGAGAACCCACAGGAATCCCTTGTCGTTCCTTCTTGAAGAATCTCCCATTTCTAGTCATCGCTTGAAGGAAAAAATACCTCCTTAAGTCTCCAGTAAGCCTCCAGTTCATCTCTCCAGCCACTTGCCGATGAGTATTTTTTTTTTCTTCCTTTGTCTTTTCTCCCTTTCTTTCATTTTTCCGACGACTGGTCACCTTCTAGGCCTTCATCGCCTTCCTATCATTTTTGTGTCTGGTAGTACCCCTTAGGATTCCCATTCTTAGAGAACACCCCTTGGAATCCTCTTCTTTTCTCTATATAAGATGTTGAGGAGTCGTTGTCCAGTTATCGAGGTCCAATAGGTTGGGACCCCCAGGTGGAGGAAGGATGCTCAACAAATTACCAACTTCAGAGCCTTGTACGACATCCCTCACAGCGTCGACATGGACAATTTTGACCCTCAACGTCATCGTACCAACATCGGCGCCAAGGATGCTATGCCCTTTTATACCAAGGCCATCATGGAGGGCAAGATCAGATTCCCCCCTCATCCACTTTTCCTCCAATTTTTGTCTAGGTTCCGTCTCTTCCCAGGGCAGTGTTGTCTCAACACTTTCAGAATAATAATGGGGGTGGTGGAGCTTAATAGGCGCCTCGGGGTCAACCTAGGCCTCGAGGACATCCTCTTTTGCTATTCCTTGCTAAGGGTGATGCCTCATCATAACTTCTATCTCAAAGTCCGGGACCCCTCCATGTACCTCATAACTTATCTCCCCAACTCGGACAAGGGGTACAAGGATGACTTCCTAATCTTTAGTGGCGCCTGGAATAGGGGGATCGGCCCCGAGTACGATGGCTTGTCCTGCCCTAAGGAGTGGCGAACAACAAGTACATTAGTTTTTCCCTCTCTTCTCGGCTTTCTTAGTTTTTGTGAACATACTTTGCATAAGTAATAACCCCTTCCTCTTTTGTGCAGACGTTTCTAATTGCAAAGCTACGCCTCCCCCTCGGCACTTGGTGAATTTTGAAGACTTAGTCACCTTCTTGGGGTACATCGGCGATGGGTTTGGCTGAGCGGGTCACGTACCCTTGGACTACATCCCAGCATACAAGAAATTTTCTCAACTCCCCCAACCCTACGACCCCTCACAGTGGTCTGAACTCTTTGAGCAGAACTTGGAGGAAGACCCCGACAGGGCCACGGAAGCCGAAATAGAGGGGCTTGCTGAAGGAGTTGAAGAGGCGACAGACGTTAGGGAACCCTCCACCACTGTTCAAGCCGAGGCTAGTACTTTTGGGAGGGACACTTGGCCAAATTTCAATATTCTCCAAAGCCTAGACAATGAGGATGCGCTAGAAGTAGTAATGTCCCACCGGCCTCGCCTCAACCTCAATTACTAGAACCAGAGGGTTGCCTTGAGGGGCAGGGGATCCTCTGGCAATGTCCCCCCTCCTTCTATCCTACTGAGGTCTACTGACTGGGGCTAGGTCCATGACTAGGACCCTTAAGTCAAGAAAGAGAGGAGGACCAGACAATGACATGATGGACTGGGCTGAGGCAAGGCCTTTCCATCACAGCAACAACAACAACAAACTCCGCTTTCTCCTCCTACACCAACACCTATAGCATAGAAGTGGCGTCCTCAGGCTCGGGATTAAGAAAACAAGGTGATCCGGGTCAATGACTCCATCGTCCATAATCTTTACGTAGCCTATGCTGTGAGTATGACGATCCAATTCAGTGTCGCTATGGCAGAGCTCCGAGGGCGGCCGACTAGCCAACTATTTCGCTAGATCATCCAGGGCTCTGTGGTGGTAAGCTTTGTAACATCTTTCCTTGTTTTTCTAACTTCATTTCGTCGGAGTAACTCTTCTCCTGTCCCTCTAATAGGTTCCTTAGCAAATCACGGTAATTGTCGAGTGCTACCACTCGCAGAGGGCAAGGCTTTAGGAGTCTGAAAGGTTGAAAGTCAAAGCTAAGGGAGCCCTTGCCGCCGTGAGGGAGGATGTGGCTGCCCGAGACATCACGTTGTCTTCCTAGGCAGCCCAAATTGAACAGCTCTTGAAGAATGGCGAGGCTGCGAGGGTCAGCGCTGAAAAGCTAAGTGCAGCCCTTGCAGAAGCCTAGAGGAAAATAATTGAGGCAACGGAGAAGCTGTCTGCGGCAGAGGCCAAGGTTGAGGAATCGGAGCAAACCTAATCAACTCTAACCTAGGAGCTGGACAGGGTCAGGGTAGAGATGGAGGCAAACAAAAAAATAGAACAAGAGATTGTTGACGGCTACACCGATGACATCGTGCTTGCCCTAGAGGAGAATAAAAAGGAGTTCTTTAAGAAGGGCTGAGACGAGGCACTCCAGGCGGCGGGGGTTCCTCCCTAATCTCCTCTGTTTCTTATGCATGAGTATGTGCCTTCGGAGGAATGCTGCAGGCCGTGGCAAAAATTGCTACTAAAGATGCAACAAACGTCCAAGTGCCAGGCATAGTGGAGCTTTCTGATGCTACTATCCTAGCCCCAGCTATTGTTGTTCCCCCTGAGGCTCCTCCAGCTCCAGAGTTAGCAGTGCCCCCTGCTCCTGCTCCTCAGACCAATGTCGTCGATGCTAAGTCCTCCCCAAGCATAGAAGAGTTCGTTGGGGATGCTGGGGGAGACGCTGGTGACCGATTTCCTTGTATTTTATGTAATTTTTCTGTTTGTATGCTCTAAGGGACGCAAAGCTCTCTTTTCCTTTGGAATGAAATGTCTTTGCTTCATATATTAGTGTTCTTTTCTTTTGTCTTTGAGTATTTGTAGCTTCCAACTCTAACTTCTAACTCCAAAATTCTAACTCTGAAACTCCCAAAATTCTGAAGTGCTGACCCTCGAGGCCAAAAAGCTTCCTTATTTCAGAACTTCAGTGCTGAGGGAACATGTCAAAAATGGAAGGTTCCAACAAGGTTCCACGCCGAGCGCCGTGAGGGTTTTTTACGTCGAGGGCACCGATGGACATTTTCATATTTTCACTTCGGTTAGCTTCATCTTCCTTACGGGTAAATCCAAGGAGATGGCGTCAGGTTCCATATTAGTCGATCAAACGACTTCACCCATGTACTTGTGCAAGCAGATGCCAATGTCTTGGTGCAAGGTTCAGTGCTTTCAAGCAATGCACTTGACGAGTACCCTTTTTCAGGGTCATTTTCCATTCAAGAGGCATGCTCCTGTCATTTAGTTGAAGGCAGGAGTCCTTGAGACTTTGCCTCTAGGGCCATGCCCTTTCCAGGAGGCATGCTCCTATTCTTTATTTATAGGTAGGAGTCCTTGAGACTCTGCCTCTAGGGCCATGTTCTTTCCAGGTGGCATGCTCCTATTCTTTATTTGGAGGTAGGAGTCCCTAAGACTCTGCCTCTAAGGCCATGCCCTTTCTAGGAGCCATGCTCCTATTTTTTATTTAGAGGCAAGAGTCCCTAAGACTCTGCCTCCAGGGCTATGCCCTTTCCAAAAGGGATCCTCCTATTCTTTATTTGGAGGCAAGAGTCCCTGAGACTTTGCCTCCAAGGCTATGCCCGTTCAATGAGGCATACTCCTGTTCTTTATTTGGAGGCAGGAGTCCCTAAGACTCTGCCCCTAGGGCCACGCCCTTTCCAGGAGGCATGCTCCTATCCTTTATTTGAAGGCAGGAGTCCCCAAGACTCTGCCCCTAGGACCATGCCCTTTCCAAGATAACACAGCATAGCAATGAACTCTCATTCATCAAAAGTAGTATTTCTTCAAATTCATCACATTCCAAGGTCGTATTACATCATTTCCTGTCATGTCTTCTAGTTTATATGACCTGGAGCCTCCCATTGACGTGACTTTGTATAGGCCTTCGCAGTTATGACCCATTTTTCCATCTGCTGGATCCCGAGTGTTTGCCACCACCCTCTTGAGCACCAGATCGGCTATCTAGAATTCTCAGGGTTTGACTCTCTTGTTATATAGCCTGGACACCCCCTCCTGATACTTTGTCAATCTCAAGGCTACCACTTCCCTTCTTTCTTCCAGGAGGTCCATATCTAAGTTAAGTTGCTGATCGTTGTCCCCGGTATTGAAGGCTTGTTTTCTTATGGTAGGGAGGCCTACCTCCAATGGGATAACTGCCTCCACTCCGTACTCAAGAGTGTAAGGCGTTTCTCATGTTAATGTTTGAGGGGTGGTCCTGTATACCCACAGGATGTTCAGGAGTTTATCCACCCATTTTTCCTTAGCTTTCTCTAACCTTTTCTTGATCCCATTGATGATAGTCTTGTTGGAGGATTCTGCATGTCCGTTAGCTTGCGGATATGCAGGGGTGGAGTAGTAGTTTTGAATTCCAAGATGCTCACAAAAAGACTTAAATGGTCTACTGTTAAATTGGGTTCCATTGTCCGATACAAGGGCACGGGGGACCCCAAATCTCGTTACTATGTTCCTCCATACAAACTTCTTGGTGTCCACGTCCCTGATATGAGTTAAGGGCTCTACCTCGACCCATTTTGTAAAATAGTCAATTCTTACTATCAAAAACTTCTTGTCTCTAGGAGCCCTTGGGTGGGGTCCAACAAGATCGAGTCCCCACTGAGCGAATGGGTGCAAGTTTTCGGCTGGCTGCCAGATGGCTAGGGCGAACTTTGACACTGATCACATTTTCGGACATAGGCTTACGCATCCCTCTGCATCTGTGGCCACCAGTACCCTTGGGACATGATACGATAGGTCATGGATCATCCACCCGAGTATCCCCCACATATACCCTCATGTACCTCATATAGGAGTGGCTCAATTTTATTTTCTTGGACGCAAAGCAGATACGATCTAGAGAATGACTTTCAATACAACTTCTGATCTGGAGAGGCTTAAAACCTTGAAGCCTTTAATCTTATCTTCCTAGCCTCTTTGGGGCATTCAACTAAGGGGCTTTTCTCCTCCCTAGATGGTGGCTACTCTAGGGACTCCATCTATTCTGAAGTTGGGAAGGTACTCCACAGTAATCCTTTGTGTCATATTGGAATCCAGCGCCAAGGCCAAACATGCCAAGGCGTCGGCGTAGGCATTTTTATCTCGAGGGACTTGCTTGACCTCAAATTTCTTGAACCTGTGGAGTAGAGACATTGTTTTGTGGTGGTAAGCTTTCATCCTGGAGTCCCTCGTCTCAAACTCTCTGTTGACTTGGCTGACCACTAACATGGAATCACAGTGGATAGTCAGCTCTGTAGCCCCTACTACATCAGCAAGTTTGAGCCCAAAAATGAGGACCTCATACTCCGCTTCATTGTTGGATGCCTTAAAACATAGTCGGACGACTTGTTCTGTGACCACTCCCTCTAGAGAGACTAACAGTACCCCAATTCTGGAACCCTTGTTGTTGGAGGACCCTTTCACGCATAGGTTCTAGGAAAGCCCTTTTCTGCCCACTGAGGGCTCCTGCCCGAGGAGGGGAGACTCCTCCAGGGGAGGAGGCTCCTTGGAAAATTCCATTATGAAATCTGTCAGTACCTGCCCCTTTATGGTAATGCGAGGTTTGAAGTGAACTATGTTCCCCCATTTCCATCGTCCATTTGGCTACCCTTCCGAATAGGTCTGCCCTCCTTAGGATCTCCTTCAAGGGCTGACTTGTCAGGACGGTGATCGGGTGTGCTTAAAAGTAATGTTTTAGCTTTCTTGCGGCCATAATCAGGGCCAATGCCAACTTTTCCAGGGGCAAGTACCATGTTTTTGCATCCAGTAGAGCTTTTCTTACGTAGTATACTAACTTATATTCGCCCTCGTGCTTGTGGACCAGTACACCATTGACAAGGAACTCCAAAACTGCCAAGTAAAGGAACAACATTTCTCCCTCTGTCGGAATAGAAATGGTCGGGAGTACCCTGAGGAACTCCTTAATCCCTTGGAGTGCCTCTTCACACCCATGACTCCAAGTATCCTTCCTAGACCTCCTAATTGCCTCAAAAAAGGGCCTACATTTGTCTAACGACTGGGAAATGAAACTATTCAACGCGGCTAACATTCTTGTGAGTTTTCGAACTTCCCGAACTGTCCGAGGACTTCACACATTCATGATGGCTTGTATCTATTCTTGGTTCACCTCTACTCTACGTTAACTCATCAAATATCCAAGGAATTTCTTGGAACAAACTCCAAAGATGCACTTAGCTGCATTCAGCTTCAGCCCATACTCCCAAAGGACAGAGAAGCTATCTTCTAGGTCCGTAAGGTGATATTCCTTCCTTCTACTCTGGACCAGCATGTTATCTATATATACCTCCATGGTGTTCCCTATTTGCCATTTGAACATCCAGTTCATGAATCTCTGATATGTGGCCCCCGCGCTCTTTAAGCCAAAAGGCATGACTATATAGCAATAAACCCCTCTTGGAGTGATGAAAGCAGTCTTCTCTTGGTTGGACAGATGGAGGGGAATTTGATGGTAGCCAGCCCTGGCATCTAGGAACGTCATGCGCTGATGCCCAGCCGTGGCATCCACCAGCTGATCCACCTTTGGGAGGGAGAAATCATCCTTCGGAAATGCTTTGTTTAGGTCGGTGAAGTCCATGCAAACGCGCCACTTTCCTCCCTTCTTTTTTGGACAAACTGTGTCTGACAACCATTCTAGGAACTGGACTTCCCAGATGGTGTTAGCCTCCAAGAGCTTCTCTACCTCTTCATTTATCGTTTGGGCGTGATGCGGTACCGTATGTCGAGGCTTTTACTTCACCAGCTTGTGAATGGGATCAACGTGAAGCTTATGAGTTATAATGTCAGGGCTTATCCCCTTCAGTTCTGTGGCATCCCATGCAAACACATCTACATTTCTTCTCAAAAAATTGGCCATCTCTTCCTGCTCGGCCGAGGGCATGGTGGAGCTAATCAGGAAGTATTTTTCTTCGTCTTCTTCTACCAGGAGTACCTTTCGGAGATCCTCCACTAAGCAATCTGCCAAATCAATTTCGTGGCTCATCAACTCCTAGTTGCCCGGTCTATAATTGCTATTCGTTCAGGACCTCCTCTGGGGCTCGCTCCTTGTCCTTGGAGGTGACCCCTGCCCTTACTGTTGAATAGAAACAATTTTTGGCAGATGTGTGGTCCCTGTGGATCTTTTTTACTCCCTCAGGGGCAAAAAACTTTAATTTCTGGTGACAGGTGGAATGTACCACTCCTATTGCGTGTAACCAGGCCCGCCCCATGATAACATTGTAAGGTGAATCGGAGTCAATCACCATAAAATCCGTGTTGGTTGTAATGAGTCTGGTGGTAACTGGCAAAGTAATCTTGCCCATGGGCAAGGCATACGAGCCTTTAAATCCAACGAGAGACGAACTGACTTTGGTGAGATCCTAAGAACCAAGCCCCATGCATTTCAAGACTTCGAGGTATATTACCTCGAAACAACTCCCAAAGTCCACCAGGACCCTCTTGATGTCAAAGTTGTTGATCTTCATAGTCAGGATCAAGGCGTCCTCATGGGGGAGGACCACGCCTGCCAGGTCGACATCAAAAAAAGTGATGTCTTCTTGGGTATCTGGCTGGCCTCCATCATTCTCATCCACCTTCTTTGTGAAAGTCATTCTCTTAAGATCAGATCTGAGAGTTTTGGACGTCGGACACTCTAGTGGGTAGACATAGATGACGTCGACTACATTGTCTCGGACAATGGTCTGATCGTCGATGCCATGG